TCAGAATAATTTTGGCGATATTGGACATTTTGCCTATTTTTTTTTTTTTTTTAATTTTCCTTCTATGGGTCAATAAAAGATATTTCTAATAAATTCCAGACAATATATTTAATTCTAGACAATACAAATATGAAGGAAACACTCAAAAACTGTATGGACTTAGAATAAGCAGAAAAGGGGAAAATAGGCGTTTTTTTTTCGAGAGAAAGCTAAAATTCCTTTGATAAGGAAAACAAGCATGTTTACCTTATTTACCAGGTTTCTTAGCCTGTGCAGGTAGTTAACAATTTTACCAGTGGTGTTAAAGACAAATTCACATAGTGCTTGCATGACATTCCGGTAAAGTGAGCCGATACTTGGAGCTATGCGGGAAAGCCAGCTCTTAAAGATTTGCTTCATATAGACCAGGGGTACTCAATATGCCGATTGCGATCTACCGGTCGATCGCGGGAAGGTTTTGAGTTGATCTTTGCAGCAGGTGACACCCTAAATAGGTGAAGATGGCGGCGCGTGAACGACGCAAGATTCAGTGTCTCTCCAGAACCTGCTATTTATTGGTTTTTTACCTACTTCTCTCTGGACTTTTTTTTTTCAAGAACTGCACCGCGTTGCTTTGCTATAGCAGACAAGAACTTTTGGACCTTTTATCGCCGATCTCAGACTTGTCCCAGAGATCTCCAGAACACCGGAGGCGGCCCACTTCTCCTGACCGGGCGGAAGTGCACATAGGCGGAGACGAGAACGCAAACAAAGGCGGGGTAAGGTGGAGGGGTGCGAGCTACGCTAAAGCTAACACCACACCGGCTCCCTGTGGTGTTAGCTTTAGCTAAAGCTAACACCACACCGGCTCCCTTTACCCAGCATTTTCCTCGCAAATGTCCGTTCTCTGGCCAATAAAATGGACGAGTTACGTCTATCCATCACTGGTCCATAATCCATCACAGATGGATTATGGACTCAAATGTCATGGTTTTCACCAAAACATGGCTAAACAACAGCTGCCCGGACAATGCTATCCAGTTAACTGGACGCCATGCACACCGAGCCAACAGGATAGCAGATGACTCCGGTAAGAGCAGAGGCGGAGGTTTGTGCATTTACAAAGTTTGGTGCACAGACTCTGCTATTACCGAGAGTCACTGCTCACAGAATCTGGAGTTTTTAATGATCAAATGCAGACTTTATTACCTCCCAAGAGAATTCACTTCAATTATCCTCACTGCTGTGTACACCCCCGCCCCCCTGGATGCTAATGCCAAGCTAGCCATGAAAGAACTCTATGCGGTCATTAGCAAACACCAAACTAAATACCCCGAGGCTGCTTTTATTGTTGCGGGTGACTTCAACCACTCCAACTTGAAGACAGTCCTTCCCAGATTCCACCAACATGTCTCCTGCCACACCAGAGGAGACAAGACCCTGGACCATGTCTACTCCAATCTGGCTGGAGCTTACAAGGCGGTCTCCATAGTGCTGCACTCTGTCCTTTATCACCTGGACAACAAGAACACTTATGCCAGAATGCTGTTCATCAGTTCACTCATGTGCAACTGGTTGCTCGACTTCCTGACCAGTCGACCCCAACACGTCCGGCTGGACAATCGCTTCTCATCCACCATCATCATAAACACCGAAGTGCCACAAGGCTGTGTGATGAGTCCCTTCCTCTACTCTCTCTTCACCCACAACTGCAGACCTGTCCATGGCTCTAATGCCATCATCAAGTTTGCAGATGACATCACGGTGATCGGCCTCATCAGAGACAACAATGAGGCCGCCTACAGGGAGGAGGTGGACCATCTGGGTGAGTGGTGCGACAAGAACAATCTGCAGCTGAACACCGAGAAGACCAAGGAGCTCATCGTGGACTTCAGGAGGGACGCTGACCTGCACCCATCCATCCACATCAAGGGAATAGCGGTGGAGCGTGTGAACAGCTTTAAGGTCATGGGAGTCCACATCTCCGAGGACCTGACCTGGATGACCAATTGCTCCAAACTCGTCAAGAAGGTGCACTAGCGCCTCTTCTTCATGAGGACCTTGAGGAAGAACCACCTGTCCAACCCAGACCTGAAGGCGATGTTACTCAGAGATCCTCACCAACTTTTACCACTGCACCATTGAGAGCATCCTCACCAACTGCATCACAGTTTGGTATGGGAACTGCTCTGTCTCCGACCGGAAGGCGCTGCAGAGGGTGGTCCAGAGGGCACGGCTCCCTGCCATCAATGACATCTACAGGAAGCAGTGTCTGAAAAGGGCCTGGAAAATTACCAAGGACTTCGCTCACCCTGCACACACGCTCTTCTCTCTCCTGCCCTCTGGGAGGCGTTACAGAAGCCCACGGACCAGAACCACCAGGCACCAGAACAGCTTCTTTCCCACAGCTGTCACGCTCCTGAATGCCTCCTGACACAAACTATAAGGACTGTACCCCCCATCCTCGGACTGTTCCCCTCACATACACGATCTGTATACAATCTTTATATAATCTGTAAATCTAATTTGCCATTATTTATCCTGTATTATAAAACAATTTATATATATACTATCCATTCTTCATATTTCTGTATATTCCATATAATCTGTGTAATTTGTATAATATGTGCATAGCTCTCATATTTATGTTTGTTTATATTTGTACAAATATAATTAATAAAATTTTTAGAAATTTTATTATAGCACATCAATATTATTCTCTGTTTATATCTTGTACAACTGTTTATAAATATTTATATCCTGTATAGCACTTCTGGATATATGCAAACTACATTTCGTTGCTTTATACATGTAACAGTGCAATGACAATAAAGTTGAATTCTATTCTATTCTAAAGTCCTCCAGGACGCTAAGACCAGCACTTTCTCGTCTTACAGGCTTATCAAAATATTTGCTAAGTCCCAAAACGTTTGTAGCTTTATGAAAGAGTAATAATAATAAAATCAGCAAAACATGTTAAAATTAATATTCTCAGTAATTGCTAAGTTGCGTTCTAGATCCATTAACAAATAAAAAGGGACTCAAAGACCGACTGACTAGCAGAGGAGGAGTTTAAATGAGCTACTCAACCACCGCTGTGTTGAGGGGAGACTCAATAATAATCGATGACTAAAAATCAAGCTTGGGAACCTGATATCGTAACGAACTGAATGTTTTTAACAAAATCTTTACTTGGCTTGCAGAGCCAATTAAAATTAGAAAGAGAGTAAAGAAGGTGCGAGTGGTTCTGAGTTGCTCACCTGTTTGGGTTATTTTATCTTTGTTGTTTTATCTTTATTTTACCTTTGTTGTCCATTTCCTACTTGATTGTGTCCTATATTTGCTAGTAAAAAGCGTTTTCAGAGCTTGTTAGAGTTGCAGCACCTTGTTATTGTATAGGGTGTATGGCCGGAGTCGTCAAAGAATTCTAACCATCCTAGGGCTGTTGTAAATTAATATTTTAGTATTAGAGTATTCTATCAATTATTTTTACGATTAATCAAGTAATCGGATTTTTAAAAATTCTAAAATAAAATATTGGTAAATCTGGCATAACACCAGTGTTACTATCACATATCGATTTCAATACAGTTTTTCATTTTTGAGCATCTCTAACAGTTACTTTTTTGTAGTTTAGAAAACTAATCTGTAACAGTAATAGCTCACTTTCTAAGTTAACCTGAAGTAATACGAAAATCTGAAATTATATTCAATTTAACAATGAAGAGGCAGGCCCACAAATACGCTTTTAAAAAATGTCTATGCTCCAGCTTTTAGTTTATGTATTAAGAAAAAAAAAAACAGTTCCATAAATTTTCACCCTGCCCCATACCTGTCAAGCTTTGGGTTTGAGAATACCAGAAAACCCAGTAACTTTTCAGCTGTTCTTCGTTAACATGACCTAAATAGGTTATAATGATTTTCATTCAGTCAGACTGACACTAGCTACATGCATTGCAGGTAGATTGTAGTAAGGAATTGATTAATGCCTGGTTTCAAAGTTAGTGAACTGGACTTATTATTTTGTGTCCATTGTTGGACACAACACGGTTCGATCGAACCGTTATAGCTCAGCTTTCTGTCGGCTAATGTGTCTCTCAGGTTTTGATAATGGGCGACATTCGGCGACATAAGATGGTGCAGCACGCGCTGGGCATTACACTAAGGAAATAAGGAAGGGAGGGTCAGTGGAGTTGAGCCTTTTTTCATTCATTGTCATCAACAGTAAGAGAAAAAGGCAGGAAGAAACCGATATAGCCGATAATTAAAATGAGGTTGATAGTTTTAATTTATCATGCGATTAATTGATTTATTGTTTATCGCGACAGGCCTAGCCTGGAATAGAGAGTTTGGGGTGGCGGTGGTGGGAGGGCAGGCGAACAAACGAGCATAAGATGGGGGTGGAGAGGAGGAAATAGACCAGGGGACAGATGCACTATCAGTCCAAGAGGAAAGATGAATGAACAAACCTAATTTACGAGAGGTAGACCAGGGGACAAAAGTAAGAACTCGGGGAACCAATGCAAGATATTTACAGCACACTTATTCGTCATACTCAGAAACTTATCAACTAGCCATGTACTGCCAACATGTTTTCCGCCACCTGTTTGTTCACACCAGGATGATATGAAATTTATTGTACGGTTTGTGACGGGGTTCTTTTATGACTTGGGCCACCACACATAAAGATTGACGGACCAAGGCCAGAGATTATCTTAATGAATTTTATTTTCTATCAAAACAGTGAATCAAAGACGGCCGACGCAGGATATTTACAAAAGTGTCCAAAACGAGTTAAAAATCAACACAGCAGTACCTTCAAGTTCATCACCTCCAATGTGACACTTCTCGCGTCTAGGTGCAGACTGCCCTCTGTGAGACAGAGCCCTGCTTTTGTAGCCGCAGGCTCCTTCCAGAGGAAGTCCCATCAAACAAAACAAAAAAACTAAGCAATTATTTCTAACTCAAATCCTTGAAATATACAAAATAATAATGAAAAATAAATACATTTATAGTCAAAATACATTCAAACAAAAAAAACAACAAAAAACAATCAGCACATTGTGATGGCTACACCACATCACATAATTTGCTCCCGGTGTGCTCCAAATCAGAAACAACTTCACTCAAAAGAAAACTGGAAAAACATCTACCTGAAAATAACCGATTAGAATGAACGTCGAACGAAAACACCGCATGTGCACCCACGATGAACCGCCTCAATCCAAACTAAAAGGAAAAGAAACAGGTAAGTTGATAACTGTGCATGTTTGTATATATTTGCTAACACGGACTCTTTACTTGACTCTCAGATCGTGACGGCTCCTCCGTCACACCACCCCTGTCCTCTCCAAGATTGACAAAATTCGGCAACCTAGAAAGAAAGTCTGCCACTTTAAGTCTGCCACTCCTATGACAGATGTTAAGTTTGTAAGATTGCAAGCACAAATAGCACCTAGTCAGACGATGGTTACTGTCCTTCATGGTGTTGATCCAGGGTAGGGCACGATGGTCTGTCTCCAAATCAAATTCTCGGCCCAGCAGATAATACTTGACACTTTCCAGAGCCCACTTAATGGCCAGGCCTTCTTTTTTCACCACAGAATACCTCACCTCCCGAGGTAGCAGCTTGCGACTCAGGTAGAGTATGGATTGCTCCTCTCCAGGATCTCCTTGAGCCAGGACAGCTCCGAGACCAACTGTGGATGCATCTACATGGACCAGAAATTTCCTACTAAAATCAGGACTTCGGAGGACAGGAGATGAACATAGATGAGCTTTCAGAGTGTTAAAAGAAGCTTCACACTCCTTGGTCCACACAAGGACCAAGGAGTCCTTCTGATTTTTAGCTGTCAAACTGGTGAGTGGAGAAGCAAGTGTAGCAAAATGAGGCACAAACCTTCGATACCAACCAGCTAGTCCCAGGAATGACCGCACTTCCTTTTTGGTTCGAGGACGAGGGCATTTTTGGATTGCTTCCACTTTGTCCATCTGTGGTCGCACCTCCCCTCTCCCTAGCTGGTAACCCAGGTATCTGGTCTCCTGTTGTGCCCAACACACTTTGATATGTTAAGTGTCAGTTCTGCTTCTCCAATCTTTTCCAACACTCTTGCTAGACGTGCAACATGCTCCTCCCAGCTATTGCTGTAGATGATTACATCATCGAGGTAAGCAGCGCTGCAGTCTTCACTTCCTCGCAGTACTTTGTCCATTAGCCGCTGGAAGGTGGCTGGAGCACCATGCAGGCCGAATGGCATAACAGTAAACTGAAACAGACCAGAAGGGGTACGAAATGCTGTTTACTGTCTGCTTGACGGCTCCAATGGAACCTGAAAGTACCCTTTGCACAGGTCAAGGGTGGTAATGAATTTTGCTTTTCCAATCCTTTCCAGCAGCTCATTCACCCTGGGCATGGGATAGGCATCAAACTCTGAAACTGCATTAAGCTTTCTGAAGTCAATGCAAATCCGCAGTGAGCCATCTTTCTTACAGACAATGACCACTGGACTGCACCATTCAGAGTTTGAAGGTTCAATAATACCTGACATTAGCATGGCCTCAACTTCATCTCGCAGGTGTCACACCAACTGCTGTGGAACACCGCGTGTGCACCCACGATGAACCGCCTCAATCCAAACCTAAAGGAAAAGAAACAGGTAAGTTGATAACTGCATGTTTGTATATATTTGCTAACACGGACTCTTTACTCAAGTCTCAGATCGTGACAGCTCCTCCGTCACATGGTTCGTCCGTAAATCTACACTTACTGTAAGCATCAACTATTCTGCCGTCAGCCATGTTCAGCCTATCCACTAAACCTGTATCAATACTCCTGCAGGACTCTTCCTGCCATTCGCTTTGAACCAGCAGGCTGCTCTACTCCAGGCATCGCGCCAGTCATTTTGAGGATGCTTATTGGATCCCAAAAAACGATGAAAACCTTGGCATTACCATCAATCAATAAAATCCCCACGGGCCAAACTTGAAAATTGGACGTTATGCTGCTAACACTTAGCTTTCGTCAACAACTCGGAAGTCCCAGCCAGTACATGGTGTGCTAAATAATACAACATAAATTAACAAAGCTTCGAAGCAGGTTAATATTCCTCGAGGAATTTTAATAATCTAGGTACTCTAATCTTTTCAGCCCTAAACCATCTAGCAGCAAACTGCTACCTGTGTTTTGCCTTTTGTGGTTTATCCCCCCCAAGTATTTGTTTGTTTATTTTTGCATTCAGTCCTGCTCACCATTATCGGCACCTATGAAGTTTAAGTACATATAATGGAGTATTTCCTGATGGAGTTTTATCAAGTGAATCAACATTTTATTGCTGATAGCTTGTGCTTGATGCAAAACAGCAAATGATTAAAAAAAAGAAAACATTTGAAAAGATAAACATTATGAGGAAAACGAGGAAAAAACAATCTACCGTTTCAATGGTATTGGCACCTTTTGCTGCAAATCAGTATGAAAACCCAATTCGGCTCACCTGTTACAAATTACAAATAAAGAACACTTGTGAAGAACTGCCTCCACACATGTGACATGAATTAACCAATGAATGATCATGTTGGTGCTTCAAAAGCCACCTGTTAGTCCATCTTCACATGTGACAATGGTAAAGACAAATGAGCTGTCTGAGGACACCAGAAATGCCATTATTTGTCAACACCAGACCCCCAAAGGGTATAAAGCCATCTCCAAAGACCTTGCAACGGTGCGTAATGTTATTAAGAAGTTTTCCAGGCATGGAACACACAAGAACCTCCCTGGACGTGGGGGCAATGGAAAAAATTAAGTCTACGATGGTTGGTGCTACTGGTGGAAAAATACACCACGACAAACATCTAAAGACCAACCTGGAGCATATGCCACACACTAAACAAAGTGGGGCTTTATGGGCGGAGGTCAAGGAACTCCCCATTGCTAAAGAAAAGACATAAAAAAAGAACGCTTTATCTTCACAAAACAAACCTGGACAAACCCCAAGCCTTCTGGGACAACGTTTTATGGACAGATGAAACAAAGTGGAGCTTTTCGGTAATTCATACAAGCAATATGTTTACAGACGATGCAATGAAGCCTTTAAAGAAAAGAATACCATACCAACAGTCAAGCATGGTGGAGGATCTGTAATGCTGTTGGGCTGCTTTGCGCCATCTGGTACTGGAGGCCTTGACTGTATCAGAGATCATAAAATCAGAAGATTATCAAGCAATTCTAGAGCGAAATGTCTTGCCAAATGTAAGAAAACTTGGTTCGAGGCGAAGATCCTGGATCCTCCAGCAAGACGACAACCCAAAGCACACCTCCAAAAGCACACGGGCATGGCTGAAAGGGAAAAAATTAACTGTTTTTAAAATGGCCAACAATGAGTCCCGATTTCAATCCTATTGAAAATCTTTGGGTGGAGCTGAAATCTGCCATTGGAGAAAGGAACCCTGCAAATGTACAAGAATCAGACCATATTGCAAAAGAAGTCAGGGAGAAAATCCCACCCAAGAAGTGCAAGAAGCTTATAGATGAATATAAGAAATGTTTGGAGGCTGTCATTGCTGCCAAAGGCTATGAAAAAACGATAGACACCCTTCTGTTAAAATTTAATCGGAGGAGTGATGGATTAAAGACCCTAATTAATTGCTTTTAATTTCCGGTGTCTGGTTACATCCTACATCCCCCCATCTGTTACGACATCTGCTAATCCAATCAATGTAGCCTATTGTTTTTGGTGAACTTCTTCCGATCTCAGTTTTAAGAGTAATACAATTAAAGTATGAAAAAAAAAAAAATTTTAGGTAATAATCAGAAATACTATGTATACATATATCTGGTTACGGATACCGACTCAAAAATGGGGCCAATATCAGTTCTCTACATGGATGACATCAAGCTGTGCGCCAAGAGACATCGACTCACACCACCAGGATCTACAGCACGGACATTGGGATGTCATTCGGACTAGAGAAGTGTGGTCCGCTGGTCACAAAGAGGGCGAAGGTGATCCGCACAGAAGGAGTCTCACTCCCAGAAGGAACAATAGCAGACATAGAGGACAGTTACAAGTACCTAGGTATATCATAAGCAAATGTCAACCTCGATGAGGTCACAAGGAAAAGAGCCACAGCTAAATACCTCAGTGAACAGATAGCATCATTAGGACCAAGGAAGAAAAGCTATAGATAATTTTAACAATGACAAAACAATTCACCATGTTGTGACCAACTCTTGGAGCATGGTTGTGTAGTATGTTTCATTTTTTATATTTGTTTTTTTTTAGGTAAAGTGCACCAATTGCAAATGTAGTTAATGTTGTTATAAGTTGGGCTAGTCGTCAGAAGATGTGAGAGAGAAAGAAAAAAACAAAAATTCACTGATTGAATTGTTGGTTGATAGCCACCATAAATTTGAATTTGTGCAACAAACACCAAAAGAAATAAAAACTATATAAAACCTGAATGGCCATTCAGTTTAATAAATATTTACACAGACCATCATTCAATAGATTGAAGAAATCCGATATATATTTTCATTTGTTGCTTTTTGTTTCTGCTCATGTTTTTTAAAGGTGTTGAAATGGTTTATCACCATTCAGTGATTTGGAGGCGACCGATGTCCTTCTCCAACCCCTCACTGTCGGATCCTTCCTTCCGAAGAAACACTGGAGTCCTCGTTGCTTCCTAAACTGTATGGCTCAAAAAATATGGTTGCCGTTCTTCAGTAGAACCAGCTCTCTCTTCTTCACCACTCCATCTAGCTTCTTCCTTCTTCCGTGGTAAATGCACGTTCTATTCAGGAAAGTAATCTATGGCTAAATAGATTCCTCTGATTCAAGGAAAAGCTTCTTGTAGTGGAGATGCTTCTGTAGTGCTTCATGTTAACAAATTTAAAATCTTCTTACATGATGCAATAATGTTACTAACTGAATAAGCTAAGTTTTAGTTGAACTGATCCTTCACTCTTGGAAGTAGGAAAGTAACTGTGACTCTTTCCAGGACACTTTCCCTCCTGGAAAATGTTCCAGCTAACAGAACACTGCCAGACATAGCTTCTATGAAGAGAAAAACAGATTGAACATGAATTGCATATAGAAGCATAACTACAGAAAAGTCTTTGGATATCCTAAGTTTTAAGCTTGGTCTGAAAAGGCTTAAAACTTTCCAGACTGGGAACTGGTTACAGAGGAGAGGAGGTTGAGGCTATGTTAACACGGTAGAAAAGGTGACCCAAATCGGCTTTTGGCCATATGCCACCCATTCAGCTTTCATACTGAAAGAGTTGGTCTGAATATCCCAATTCAAGGAGGCACGAGCTATTTGTTCCTGGTGTGAGGTGTTTAATACTTGATTGACATTGCCTCGCTTTTGAGGAACTTCCTTCTAAAAGATAAAGGATTGCAGCGAGTAAAGTAGCATGTTTGAATTCTAAACAAATGGCTCAAACTTCCTCTTTGATTTCTTGCTTCTGTGTATTGTTGGTCAATCAGAGAAGTTCCTTTTCACTCCAAATCTTTTTGTCGACTTAGTGTTTTTGCTTCAATGACACTTAAAATGGCCATTTTGAAAGTGGATTACATTTTTTTCGAAATTATTGGTTTATACTTCTTAGAGTGGAGAGAATTAAAATAAGGAGTCCACGACAGACACTACTCCTAAAATGGTCTTTCTCACATTGTGGGGCCTGGACCAATGTTGGTCCGTGGGCCATAGTGGTCCGCAAGGCACTGCATGTAAACAACTGTTATTTGCCGTGACTTGAGCTCAAAGTGCAATGCATACAGATAACTCACCAAATGATTGCAAGTAGGCCTAAATATTAATGCACAGTTGCAGTAAATAACATCTTCCTTTTTTATTTCTATGTGGAAAGCATAGAAACCAGACTTTCACAATATGTAAATTACTCAGAGTATGATTGGAGTATGATTGTTCATGACAGCAAGTGTGCTAAGAGACAAGTATTTTAATTTCAAATTGTATATGTTAAGATGTTGTGCTATTTGTGGCCTGTGGGTGCTTATTAATGGATTAAGTGATCCTTGACCTGAAAAGGTTTGAGAAACACTGTCCTACAGGGAAAACCAGAATGAATTTATGTTCAGAACCTCAGAATTTTAATCTAAGAAGAAAATAAGATCTTTAACTTTGAATGGCATTTCAATTTTGCATAATGTTATAAACATCTATTGTAAAACAATTGCTTTTAGACATTCTCAAGAACATCATTTTTGGGGTTAGGGCAGTTTATTCAATGTAAAACTACCTGAAAGGATTTTCTATAGTCTTGGTCAGAACAGTGAAAAATTTAACCAGAGAACTGTAAGAATGTGAAGTTGTTTGGTGGCCCAGAATGTTTTTTATTTACCACATACTGAAATGTTAAGTCTTTAAGTATGTGATTAAATATATTTAGGGTTGGGTGTCAGGTTGTTTTCTAATCTATGCAGCTTCCCTACTTGAAAAGGGATGGATAAATCAATGCAAACTTTTATCAACCTTTTACTCAAAAGACCAAGCAGTTTTCTTTATTTTATCCTACATTTATTTAGTGTGTGTCAGGACATGTTCACAATTGTCCCAGAAGCAGGCAAAAACCTTTAAACAAACCCAAAAGCAGAAAAATAAATAATTACTAATCTGTATGCAAGTTTACTCAAACTATATAAAAAATACTAAGCAAACCACTGTGAATCAAACCCATAAAGTAATTAAAGTTATATGAACAAGTAACTAAACTTAAATTATTTAACTTTAAAGTACATTTCAAATTAATATTTACAATTACATGATATTTACATTTATTTAAATATACAAATCTCTGCTTTTCAATATTAGTCACAAATATTTATTTTATGAATGGCTTTGAGTTATTCTTCTTAATCTAGTGCTAAATTAATTAATAGTTGAACTTAACACCCAAATCCACTATTCAACAACACAACAATCAGTTCGACAATAAAAATCAATCAATCAACACCAGACTTCACCACCACAATCCACCGCTTCAGTTCAGATGCTGCTGTTAATCGATGTTCACCAGCTCACAAAGCTGGAGGCTTGGCTGGAGGAACGTGGGTAACCTAGCAGTCCGATCTCATAAACAATACAGCTTGTGTCTTACTGGCTGCCTCCCCGCCTGTCTGGAGATTCTTTCATATCTGCGCAAATCGACCAGGATCTCTGATCAAAAGAGTCTCCAAACTCCCATCCTCTTTGTTTGGCTTTCTCTTCTGCTTTTTTTCATTGTCTGTTCCTCTTTTAGGTCCATGTGGATCACAGTGAGCTTATGTCTTTTTTTTTCCCTTTTCAAATAATAGCAATATATATTACAAAATAATTTTTCCTTGCTAAACAAATAAGATAGGCTCAATATAGACCTTCGATATACAGAAAAGATGAATAGCTAATAAAAGTTGCTCCTTGCTGAGCCAATCATGAGTGGAATAAAGACACACAGTTAGGTTCATACAGAGAGCATAGAAGCACAAAGATGCACTAACAGCTGTCCTAATGGAAGAAAGGACAGAATAAACAGCGAATTACACTGTTGACAAAAAGGAGTTATTTTGCCTATTTAAAGTCAGACAAAAACAAAGTAACATGCACTGCAAATTATGTTGAGTGTATGTTGGGGAATACTGCCGATCACAGGTGTCACCCAGTACAGCATGCAGCATGTGAAACTTTACAATCATATATGAGGGCGAGTGCTAAGAATCCACCCTGCACCAAAACAATGCTTGTACATTGTAATATACTATATGTAATATCATTATACGCTATACATTTAATTCTTATTTTTAAAGGCTGCTGAACTTTTCACTGAGAATGTAAAGAATTAAAATTTCTTATCTTTCTAACTATTTTAATGTTTAGATTTTTTCCCCCTTGAAATCTGCTTAAATTTGCAATTAGGATCTATACAATTGTTTTGGAATATTTTTTTTCTTTTTATATTTCTTATTCATTGCTTATTCTTAAAGCAATATTTTAAATGGGCAAATGAGAGATTTTCAGATGTTACATTTCAGTGTCTTGTTTATATGAGGGACATCGTCATAAGCATTTATCACAGCATTGTTTTATTGCTGGAATTTTTTTTTAATTCCAACAATTTTTGAATTATCAGGTGTATTCCGCTATAATTTAGATTCTTTTTCAGTCAAATGTTATACAAGTATTTATGATTGTGTTTGAATGTGAATGTTTGTATGTAGTTACACAGTACAAAAAATAATAATCCCTCAACTTTTTAATAGTGTGTAATGATGTTTTTTTTCTTACAGGAATTCTTCAATTTGAACTATGGAAGACTTCACACTATCGCTGGATCCAAACAAAAATTCATCAGGTGGGGAGGAAGAAAAAGATGAGAGAAAAGATTTAGTCTGCAAAGATTTCGGAGAAGTAAATGATGGGCCCTTCTTCCATAATACTGACGAATCTATCACAAAGGACAATGGAAGTGTGATTAAAAAGGATGACCAAACTGTCCAAGGCCGTTGTAAAATTCAGCAGCGGGCTGTTTTCTCTGGAAAAATTCTTAGTTTTGGATGCTCATTGTGTAAAGACAATTTAACATTTAGCCCCAATGATCTCCTTAAACATTTCCGAGCAGTTCATAAAGGATCCCTTCCTACCTACCCTTGTGACTTGTGTGACTTTGTCACAAATGAGTTTCCTGCACTTCAACGCCACCGAATTGAGCACAGGAATACTCTGGTTGCATGTGAGCTCTGCAATGACAATGTTCAGTATTCCCTGCTTTTGCTTACCAGACACTACATGATGTGTCATAGTATAAACGGAGAGTTTAAATGTGACTGGTGCGAGTTTACTACTGTTGATGCAGGAACATTTGTTCAGCACATTCATCACCATAATGAGAGTCATTGGAAGTGTTCTAAATGTATACATATTAGCTTAAATGAAGATGATCATCATAATCATATGAAAGCTCACTCTGGTACCTTTATTTTCACTTGTCCAATTTGTGGATTTGGCACAACAGAAAGTGAGCAGCTTAAAAAGCACACAGCAGCTGTTCACAAAGAGGAGGCACAGCGAAAGAGTGCTCTAAAAGTTGCTGAAGACTGTGGTTCACCAACAAATTCTTCTACAAATACAAAACTGCATAAAAAGATTGCCGTTTCACAGGAAACACAAGGGATATCAAAATTGAACTCTCCCCCTAAAGCCGCAGCAAGTGAAAATGGCAGAGTAACCAAACAAGAATTTCCCTTGGAGGAGGTCCACCACTTTACTGATGGGACTCTAGGAAAAAAGGACAGCAGAAGTCGGAAATTTCATAATGCAGAACACTCAACTTCAGTCATGTTACAGGAATGTGAAAATGCAAATAATTCTGACACTGGAAGTCATCCCAGTGCCAATGGGCTTACTGTACTGATGGTGAAGAACAAAATCTCTCTTCCCCCTAATTGTACAACTAAAGTGATGGGATTCAAACTAGTTGATGGCAAAAAGCATTTGGTTCTCAAAGTAATACCAACAGCAAAGCAAAATGTGTCTTCTCAGAGTCATTTATTAATGGATGGTGTAGGTCCGTTGGTATCAAATCCTGTGATATCAAAACCAATGGACTCCTTTGAGACTGAGCAGTACTCTGAATGCAAGGGCTCCACATCAAAATGTTTAGCTATTTCACCAAGAAACGGATCTTTGCTTCAAATGGATCGTGATGATATTATGGCAGTAAAAGTGAAGATTGAGGAAGAGGAAACCTCTGTTTGTCATCTTAATTCTACTCTGTACTCTGATAGTGAACAAATAAATCCCTCACAAAACCGGTTTTCCTCAGTGGCCGATGAAGGTTGCCACAGCTGTGAGTCTGTGTGTACTGACAAAGGCAAGGTAGCAGTGTCTGGGAATTCAGATGCTGCAAATTTAAAATGTGATGGAGCTACCTTTGGATCTGAAATGAGTAATACTAAAATGGAATGTGAGGATATTAGTACTTCTCCTTTAAATGCTGTCCAGAAAACGTTGCTTTCCAAAACAGTCTGCAGAGAAATTGTAAAGAACAGCAGAACCACAGAAGAATCCATTCTAACCAATGATTTTGGCAGATTATGCAAAGAAAATAAAGACAACTTTGCTAACAACACCTTGTCCAATGACTCCCCTCACCAGATTTCTCTGGAAAACAGAGATGGCACACACGTGGAAAATGGAAGTAAAATTTGTCAACAAATGGTAAAACACATAGAATCTTCGTCTCAATTGCCTCAACCCTTTTCTGTTAGGAGCACAGTGGAAGGCCTGGGCACAGAAAACAATAAACCAAAAACGTTGAACAAGGAGGTGTTTACTTTTCACAACTATTCAAAGGAAATGTTTAGCTCCTCACGAGTACAGAGCAATTCCCAAAATTTGCTCTGTACTGGTGAATATTCTGAACCCACAAAAAATGCCTGGGATCCATCACAGTTTAGTGTGAGATTAACAGAGTCTCCAGAACACACTACAGGAAATACAGATGGGGATGGGGAGGTTGATGAGTGCATAGCTAGTGAAAATGGAGATTCAGTTCTTCAAGACTTTAATATCATCAAAATTGAGGAAGATGGGATCCCCATATCCACAAAACAGCCAGAAACAAAAACTAATTTACATTCTATAGAAAGTTTCGTCAAAGAACATTCAAATGCTATCATTACTCGACAGCTTAACAAGGAAAGAACAGGACTTTCACATGCAAGAAATGTCTTTTTAAAGCAAGCTAAAAAACCTCTTCAAATTCTTCAGTTGCCTGGTAGAAAGCAACCTGTACTCGTGAGAGCAACCAACATCCAATCAACCAAGAATAAATTTGCCATGCCAGTGCAAGTCAAAGCCACTCCAGGTTTTGAACTAACTAGTTCTCCAAATCCTCACGTCAGTTTATCTTGCATGAAACAACAGTTTACTAACTTGAGTAACACTACTGGTGTAATGCTTACTCCAAAAGCCAACATTGTAGGTATATCAGCAGGAAATCTACAAGCCACAGAAAAGGGGACTGTTCTTGCTGCTGTTCGTTCAGGGGGTAGCACCTCTTCAAATCACTACTTTATCAACAGTTCAGGTTTCAAGAGACCTGTTCTTCTTTCAAGAACACTGCATAGTCCATCAACAAATACATCACCAAAGGCACAACCAACATGCTACTTTGTGCAAAGGTCTATCCCATCTGCTCATAACCCCAGTAAAGCCAGCTTCAAATTGCCAGGTCCTCAACTCTCAGTCAACTCACAACCAGTTCTGGCAGGAACTTTTCCAGAAAAATCCAGCACTCCACAAACGGGTCGTCAGGCGTACTTGCTTCGATACATTTCTCCTTCTAGATCAAGCCTTTTTGGAAATAAGCAAGAGGCAAAGAACAGAACTATTTTGAGCCAGAGCAGTGAATGTCCAGGGAATAAAGTTATATTTAAAATAGTGTCGCCCACTGCTAATCTCAATACTACTATAGCTCCCACATTAAGCAGGCAACCTTTGCTTTTGGCCAGCAGACCTCAAGGGCAGTGCTTCCTAGTATCTGGAAACAAAACCTGCCCAACATCTCAATTGATCAGTGTACAAAATAATGGACATGAACATCCAAAAGAGCCTAGAGGGTCACCTTCATTCATAAATGGAAACCTACAATCATGCGAAGCAAATAGACTGCTCTTTGCTCCAAGGCTTGTAAGCCAAAGGAAAAGACACAAGACAGCTTTATTTGATGAGCTCCCAGCAAGCCTGCCTAAGGCTAATAGGATCTCAAATAAGGTGCTGACTGAAAAAGACAGTATTTTATGGTCACCAGCTGGCAAAGAAGTGGAGAGGATGTTGAGACTTGCGCCACACAACACAAGACAGCAGATCAAATATCCCTGTAGAGGCCAACCTGTTGTGGTGCTTAATCATCCTGATGCTGACATTCCGGAAGTGATGAACATAATGAAGGCAGTCAACAGGTACAAAGGTGCTGTCACAAAAGTTGCTCTAAGTCAAAAGACAGTTCAAGCCCTTGCTGAGTTTAGTGGTCTTGTGAACAATTCCTCTGCATCTTCAAGTGAAGGTGTTTTAAGACCTAGACATGTTCTGAGTTCTGTTCGAGAAAGATTTCTCCTGAAATTAAAACTAAGAAAGAAAAACAAAAAAAAATATGAAGTAGTTAAAACTTTATCTGCGTGTGGACAAGCCTCAATGGTGTTTGACTGCTGGTTTTGTGGTCGGCTTTTCAACAACCAAGAAGATTGGATTGGCCACGGCCAAAGACATCTCATGGAGGCAACAAGAGACTGGAATAAGCTCTTCTGAAAGTTTTACACCATTTTGAAATGGCTAAATGGTTTTTTTTCTGAAAGAAAACATTTTGATGTAATGTAAAGATCCTAGATTCTTTTTTCATCACTTAAATACATGTTGAGTGAATTACAGTTTTTTTATGCATATCATGGCAAATGTAAACAGGATTTTTGCCGCCCATGTTAGTTTAACTGTGAAAACTATTTTGTAATCAAAGGTGTGGTTGTGGCGTATTGACTGAAGGGGCCCAATTAGACCAAATAACTCAGGTAATTTTATATTCTTCTTACTTTTCATTTTCTGCATTGTTTTAAAAAGGAAAGGTGTTGTTATGTTCTTATTAAACCATACTTCCCGGACATGTTGTACAGCTAACTGTAAAAAATATACAACAGTAAAAGTGACTTTACATGAGCAACAATGTTACAATCTGAAAATGTCTTTGTTTCAGATGTTGGAACTGGAGTTTCATTTTAAGAATCAGCTTGAATGTTTGTCATTATTTTTGAGAGCCAATGGACCTGCAGATGTTTTCTGCCACTTGTGCAAAACGAGAAAAAGCAAAAGAGCATATTTTGAACAAAGTTGGTTCTCGTCAAATGCTCACTTCATAGCCCCGTCTCTTTTCTTGTTAGGCTTCTGTGGTGATTAGCTTCCAGGTCATATTGTAAATATGTCTTCCATTTGTACAGCGAAATGATAGCAATGTTTTATGTAAATGAATAAAAAAGCCGAAACATACCTATTTAGCAGTTTGTGCAGAAAGAGCTGCTCTATTCAAAGCTGTATTAACAGATTTGACTGGAACTAATTAAGTGATTTGTGAAGCTAAAAGGCCCTCAGAAAATTCTCAGTCTGTAGTGTTCCAGTCATTCAAGCAGGTTCAATGGACATGGCAAAAGGCTGAAGTATAGCTAGTCCTTGTTTCCCCAAATCTAAAAACAATACCAGGAATCACATTTCTAGCCCATTGCTGTGGTTCTGCTGTTGGCTTCAATTTATATGGAAAAGTTCATTTTATGTATAGGGGCGTTGGCTGGATCAACGCATTGTTTATAGAAGTACAACTGCAGTAATTATTTCACATTGTTTTTAAAATGAGCAAGAGTGTATAAAAATCGAATGAACCCACTCATGTTTATATTTTTTAAATGGAGTTCCTTCAACAATGCCTGAAAAGACATTTTTGTATGTTTCAACTGTTCATACTGTAATCCTGGTAACAGCTGGTATTGGTAGATTGTGTGTGTGTGTGTGTGTGTGCATGCGCGCGCAATGAGGACTTGGACTTTACCTAAATGTACTGTATATCTGCACATTGTCATTATGTCTCTTCTGCTTTAAACCCATTTTATGTTACATTTCACAATTTTCCTACCTCCAGGACTTTAGAATTTCTGGATTCTTTGAGTTGAAATGATTGTACGACATGATGGGTGGTCCATAAAATGTTTTCTTCCCTTTTAGTATGCAAGCCATGCCACTGTTTTGTATTTACGTAATTGTTCCACAGAAAGAAGAAAGAAACCCATGTGCTGAACAGATATTTTGGGAAAGTTTTATGTTTTGTTTTGTTTTTCATTGTCATTATTGGTTTAAGATCCTGCTAAACTGCGATATATCATTGGTAATTAATATTTACATTTTGGTATTTTGAATTGGTCATGTTTAAGATTTTTGTGAAATTTGTATTTTTTAATTCAAGGGCTGCAATAGAAAATGTTGCATATGAGAATATAACAGAATTTGAACAAAAGATAGTTGGATTTTTTTTTTGATTAGTCTTCATTAGAGATTTGATTAAGTGTTTGATCCATATTTAAATCAGTAACTGAATAATATGTTGCTTCAGTTGTTGTCCATCTACATCTGCAATCTTTTGTATAGATTTGAAGACACTTGTAACAGTCGGATGGATGGAATCCCCAAATTACCTTCTCATATGACTTTGCTTTGTTCTTGTCTGATTCACAAATGTCCTATTTCTTCTTCTTGATGGCTCCTGGGCCAAAAAAATTTATTTTTCAACAAATAAAAAGCATAAGTATATATTGTTAATGGTGTCTGATTTTTTTGTTTTATTTTTTGACTGAACACATTACTGAGAAACTGAAAGCTGCTACACATGCTACAACAGATGTTTTTTTCTCTGTTTTAAAAGTATAATTAAGTTCAAGATTAGAATTGTACGTCAGATTGATAAAAACATTGAAATACAGAAATATGTGCTGAATGAAAAGTATGCTTTATACCTATGTGAAGATTTTTTTTTCCAAAATGTACTGACTAATCTGCATCTAATGTACAAAATATGAGCAGACTCACAAGAAATTTGGCATTATTTCTTTATTAAGTCAGAAAAAAGTTGGCAGCAAAAACTGCTGTACTGAAATCTATAATTGTTAATCTTACAAACAATTCAGTAGTCAGATTATTAAACCTTACTACTTTGATTCCATCTAAACTTAATATTTGCACAAAATTAGCTAATTTAATTAATACAGGGTTATGTTTGTTACATTTATTTTTATCAATCAAATCATTGACATACAAAAAATATTTTTTTCATCCAATTTACCACAAAAGGTACGTATCAAAAACATCCCAGGTTTAAGATATTTGGAGTGGACTCATAAGCAAACATTTTAACCTGGGGAGAACAATAACCCATTACACAAATGTATCTTTTGAAAATATAAAGTGTTCAGAAAGACCGTCACTACTCTGGTTTCTTGTTTGCTTTAATCAATATTTTATATCTAAAAACATTTTGAATCTTGAATATACTCGAAAGGATGTTTCTCAAAACAGCGGATTGTTATGGAAAAATTACAATAAGGTCATATCTAGTCATGTCGTATGAAATGTTTGTGAACTCTCACCAAAAGAACTATTTGGGTTACTTGTAAATAACTATCTGGGTTACTTGTAAATAACTATCTGGGTTACTTGTAAATAACTATCTGGATTACTTGTAAATAACTATCTGGGTTACTTGTAAAGAACTATTTGGGTTACTTGTAAATAACTATTTGGGTTACTTGTAAATACTATCTGGGTTACTTGTAAATAACTATCTGGGTTACTTGTAATAACTATCTGGGTTACTTGTAAAAACTATTTGGGTTACTTGTAAAGAACTATCTGGGTTACTTGTAAAGAACTATTTGGGTTACTTGTAAAGAACTATTTGGATTACTTGTAAAGAACTATTTGGGGTTACTTGTAAGAACTATTTGGTTACTTGTAAAACTATTTGGATTACTTGTAAAGAACTATTTGGGTTACTTGTAAAGAACTATCTGGGTTACTTGTAAAGAACTATTTGGGTTACTTTAAAGAACTATTTGGATTACTTGTAAATAACTATCTGGGTTACTTGTAAATAACTATCTGGATTACTTGTAAAGAACTATTTGGGTACTTGTAAATAACTATTGGGTTACTTGTAAAGAACTATTTGGGTTACTTGTAAATAACTATCTGGATTACTTGTAAAGAACTATTTGGGTTACTTGTAAATAACTATTTGGGTTACTTGTAAAAACTATCTGGATTACTTGTAAAGAACTATTTGGGTTACTTGTAAACTATCTGGGTTACTTGTAAAGTACTATTTGGGGTTACTTGTAAATAACTATCTGGATTACTTGTAAAGAACTATCTGGTTACTTGTAAAGAACTATTTGGGTTACTTGTAAATAACTATCTGGGTTACTTGTAAAGTACTATTTGGGTTACTTGTAAATAACTATTGGATTACTTGTAAAGAACTATTTGGGTTACTTGTAAATAACTATCTGGGTTACTTGTAAAGTACTATTTGGGTTACTTGTAAATAACTATCTGGTTACTTGTAAATAACTATTTGGGTTACTTGTAAATAACTATCTAGGTTACTTGTAAAAACTATTTGGGTTACTTGTAAATAACTATCTGGGTTACTTGTAAATAACTATTTGGGTTACTTGTAAATAACTATCTGGGTTACTTGTAAAGTACTATTGGGTTACTTGTAAATAACTATCTGGATTACTTGTAAAGAACTATCTGGGTTACTTGTAAATAACTATCTGGTTACTTGTAAAGAACTATCTGGGTTACTTGTAATAACTATCTGGATTACTTGTAAAGAACTATTTGGGTTACTTGTAAAGAACTATTTGGGTTACTTGTAAATAACTATCTGGGTTACTTGTAAATAACTATTTGGGTTACTTGTAAAGAACTGTCTGGGTTACTTGTAAAGAACTATCTGGGTTACTTGTAAAGAACTATTTGGATTACTTGTAAAGAACTATCTGGGTTACTTGTAAATACTATCTGGGTTACTTGTAAAGAACTATTTGGGTTACTTGTAAAGAACTGTCTGGGTTACTTGTAAAGTACTATCTGGGTTACTTGTAAAGTACTATTGGGTTACTTGTAAATAACTATCTGGATTACTTGTAAAGAACTATCTGGGTTACTTGTAAAGAACTATTTGGGTTACTTGTAAAGTACTATCTGGGTTACTTGTAAATAACTATCTGGATTACTTGTAAAGAACTATTTGGATTACTTGTAAAGAACTATTTGGGTTACTTGTAAATAACTATCTGGGTTACTTGTAAAAACTATTTGGGTTACTTGTAAAGAAACTGTCTGGGTTACTTGTAAAGAACTATCTGGGTTACTTGTAAAGAACTATTTGGATTACTTGTAAAGAACTATCTGGGTTACTTGTAAATAACTATCTGGGTTACTTGTAAAGAACTATTTGGGTTACTTGTAAAGAACTGTCTGGGTTACTTGTAAAGTACTATCTGGGTTACTTGTAAATAACTATCTGGATTACTTGTAAAGAACTATTGGGTTACTTGTAAAGAACTATTTGGGTTACTTGTAAATAACTATCTGGGTTACTTGTAAATAACTATTTGGGTTACTTGTAAAGAACTGTCTGGGTTACTTGTAAAGAACTATTTGGGTTACTTGTAAAGAAACTATTTGGGTTACTTGTAAATAACTATCTGGATTACTTGTAAAGTACTATCTGGGTTACTTGTAAATAACTATCTGGATTACTTGTAAAGAACTATTTGGGTTACTTGTAAAGAACTATTTGGGTTACTTGTAAATAACTATCTGGGTTACTTGTAATAACTTTGGGTTACTTGTAAAGAACTGTCTGGGTTACTTGTAAAGAACTATCTGGGTTACTTGTAAAGAACTATTTGGATTACTTGTAAAGAACTATCTGGGTTACTTGTAAATAACTATCTGGGTTACTTGTAAAGAACTATTTGGGTTACTTGTAAAGAACTATTTGGATTACTTGTAAAGAACTATCTGGGTTACTTGTAAAGAACTATCTGGGTTACTTGTAAAGAACTATCTGGGTTACTTGTAAAGAACTATTTGGATTACTTGTAAAGAACTATTTGGGTTACTTGTAAAGAACTATCTGGATTACTTGTAAATAACTATCTGGGTTACTTGTAAAGAACTATTTGGATTACTTGTAAAGAACTATTTGGGTTACTTGTAAAGAACTATTTGGGTTACTTGTAAAGAACTATTTGGGTTACTTGTAAAGAACTATCTGGGTTACTTGTAAATAACTATCTGGGTTACTTGTAAAGAACTATTTGGGTTACTTGTAAATAACTATCTGGGTTACTTGTAAATAACTATTTGGGTTACTTGTAAAGAACTATTTGGATTACTTGTAAAGAACTATTTGGGTTACTTGTAAAGAACTATTTGGGTTACTTGTAAAGAACTATTTGGGTTACTTGTAAATAACTATCTGGGTTACTTGTAAAGTACTATTTGGGTTACTTGTAAATAACTATCTGGTTTACTTGTAAAGAACTATCTGGGTTACTTGTAAAGAACTATCTGGGTTACTTGTAAAGAACTATCTGGGTTACTTGTAAAGAACTATTTGGGTTACTTGTAAAGAACTATCTGGGTTACTTGTAAATAACTATTTGGGTTACTTGTAAAGAACTATTTGGGTTACTTGTAAATAACTATCTGGATTACTTGTAAAGAACTATCTGGGTTACTTGTAAAGAACTATTTGGATTACTTGTAAAGAACTATTTGGGTTACTTGTAAAGAACTATTTGGGTTACTTGTAAATAACTATCTGGATTACTTGTAAAGAACTATCTGGGTTACTTGTAAATAACTATCTGGATTACTTGTAAAGAACTATCTGGGTTACTTGTAAATAACTATCTGGGTTACTTGTAAAGAACTATTTGGGTTACTTGTAAAGAACTATTTGGGTTACTTGTAAAGAACTATCTGGATTACTTGTAAAGAACTATTTGGGTTACTTGTAAAGAACTATCTGGGTTACTTGTAAAGAACTATTTGGATTACTTGTAAAGAACTATTTGGGTTACTTGTAAAGAACTATTTGGATTACTTGTAAAGAACTATCTGGGTTACTTGTAAATAACTATCTGGGTTACTTGTAAAGAACTATTTGGGTTACTTGTAAAGAACTATTTGGGTTACTTGTAAAGAACTATCTGGGTTACTTGTAAAGAACTATCTGGGTTACTTGTAAATAACTATCTGGGTTACTTGTAAAGAACTATTTGGATTACTTGTAAAGAACTATTTGGGTTACTTGTAAAGAACTATTTGGGTTACTTGTAAAGAACTATTTGGGTTACTTGTAAAGAACTATTTGGGTTACTTGTAAAAACTATTTGGTTACTTGTAAAGAACTATTGGGTTACTTGTAAATAACTATCTGGGTTACTTGTAAATAACTATCTGGGTTACTTGTAAAGAACTATCTGGGTTACTTGTAAAGAACTATTGGGTTACTAAAGAACTATCTGGGTTACTTGTAAAGAACTATTGGGTTACTTGTAAAGAACTATTTGGATTACTTGTAAAGAACTATTTGGGTTACTTGTAAAGAACTATTTGGGTTACTTGTAAAGAACTATCTGGGTTACTTGTAAAGAACTATTTGGGTTACTTGTAAAGAACTATTGGTTACTTGTAAATAACTATCTGGGTTACTTGTAAATAACTATCTGGCTACTTGT